TCAGTGATAAAAAAACATCAAGAAACAGAAGATGTTACAATATTTTCTACTTATTGTTTTACATTGTCTCTTTTAAATCATTTTCAATCAGAGATTTGTAGACCACTTTTGGAAATTTGTATAGCCGCCTAAAAGAGAGCATCGTATTTAGTAAGATCTATTGCGAGTTGAGAATATCAGTTGACAAACCCGCCTCCCCTCCCCCCCCTCCACGGCATTAAAACTGATTTTTATCAGAATTCCTCTCCTTATTACAGTGAAAATGCATAGAGAGAAACTCATTAAATTTCATCACGTTCAATATAAAGAATTAGAGAAAAAACAATTTTACATTTCCATATTTTCGACAATAAAATTAACTAACTAACAAATTAACATAATTAGTACAACTATGCTTACAATCTTAGCTATATAACAATATTTATACACCTAAAGTATTCACAATACACTAAAATCTCTGAAATATCAAAATTTTAAGAGAAAATAAAAACAAAGTAATTAAATTTTTGGAGTACTTTTGAGAATGAAAATTGTAAAGCAGCGTGTTATCATATTCCTCTCGGATGTTTTAAGAATAGGGAAGGATAAATATTATGGTAATGCCTTCCGGATCCATTTTTATGAGTTTATAATTTTCAACCGAACATTCTCATATTTGTTATTTATTCTGTTATAAGTTATTCCAGATAGTATACCGAGAGGCCGGAAATGTCTTAATGTACGGCTACTGGGGTATTTTGACCAAAACTAAATACTTCGAACCTATGGGTATATAACCCATAGGTATCTTTGAGGCGTAAATACACACTATAGAAAACTATGCCGAATACGAGGAAGGAGATATGCCGACGAAGAGGCCTCTGTTTTGTTGTAATTCCTGTAATTTCTCCCAATAGATGACTTTAATATTTTTCATTGTGAATATTAATTATAAATTTTTTATGTGTCACAAGTTCATAATACCGTGAATTTTTCTTTCTATATTCACAAACTACTCTCAATTACACTTTTCTATACTATTTATGAGTAAAAGGAAGAAAGAATAATAAAAACGTGAGTATATGATAATTTTTTTAAAAGGATTATTATATTTTTGTATAATTATGTAAATAAATACGGAAATGAGCATACAGTATTGTTTAACAGATTGATGTTTCAAAAAAACAAAAACAACAACATTATCGTAAAATATTTTTTTTTGCATTTCCCTTTTATCATTGTTCATAAAATGAAATTTTGCGGAAAAATATTATAAACACTTTTTTAATATGATAATTACTTGAAAATTATCATATCAAAAGGAAAAAGTTAATATTTGAATATCAAATATAAAATGATTCAGGATGGTGTCTCTTTTAGTAGTATTTATAATATTTCAGGATCCGGAAATGAATTTTATATTATTCAAATTAGGAAATTGTTTATAAATATTTTCGATGACGATGGGTTGAAAATTTGATACATGCTTTCAAACATGCTTTAAACGTTTAACTTAATTATTACTAATGGAATTCAATTGGACATGATTGCATTTTATGAGTTCAAAGCAACAAAAATAGTACTTCTTTATAAGAAACGAATTATAGGAATAGATATGAATTAATTGAGGGCTTCCAGAGAGCCAGGTAAGTATACTTTCTATTAGAACGTAGAGCCTTACGTAGATTTGTTAAGAGTCGAAGCTTCGTTTTGGTCACGTCTCGATTTCAACAAAGGGAGAAGTCTCGAAAAAATTCCTTAAACATCGTAAAATTACTCAAATAAGAGCAATTAATCATATTTTGTTGTAGTGCATAGTATACCGTCCATATCAAAATACATATTGCTTTCTGTTCATATATTAACAATTTAACATTCACGTTCGAATATTGATTACACAAATTTTAAAATTTTTGACGAAAATTATACCTTTAACTTGGAATCTAAATGATAGTTTCCAATAGCCATAACGTATTTTGTTAATTTTAATTAGTTGAAAACACTCATAATACATAATATATACATTTTATTTTCCATAAAAAGATCTCATTACATTTCCAGTATTTTAACTCGAATTCCAAAAAATTCCGTTATACAATACTAGCAAATTTATAACAACGATGATGTAAACCTATAATATATAAATATACCAGACACAAACCATGCTCATAACATAAATCTTTTATATCGACAATTCAAACACACTACCATTAAAATTCAATATTTATACACTTATTCAAATTTTAATATAAATTACAGTTCTCATCACTATAAAAAAATTACAGAAAAAAACGCATAATTACACCAATGGATTTTCAATTGAAATTTTCAATCCTTAACCCAATCCTGTTTCTCTATTATACCATTGTACGCTGATATAATTGAATAAAATTTTAGCACATATGGAGTACATTTGAAATGACGATTAGACTATTGAAGCTGATTATTATTATCCTTTTTTTTTTATTATTAAAACACAAATCATAAAAAAAAACCTAAATAAACAAAAAAAAAAAAGATTACATTTTTTGAATAAATAACAATGTTAAACCATTAAAAAAAAAACAAGTGAGAAGTATAAAAAATCAAAGTAGCAGAAAATGAAAATCAAAATGAAAAATTTTTAATAATTATGCAAATATTTTGCGAAATTTTATAATGAACACTGACAAAAAATAATATCATATCGTAAAACAAATTGCCAATAAGCAAAAAAATTTTTCCAATTATTACAAAGTGATATTTAACTCGCGAAAAATGTTAAATCACCCAAAAAAATTTCCACGTAAAATACCGTCAAGACGAAAGGATCATATACGACTTGTATTGTCAAAAATTTTTCAGATTATTGTAGAATCAAGCAGCTAACGCGATTCTATTCAACCAAGTTTTGCAAATCTAGCTTCTCAAATTCTACATATTAGTCAAAATAAGGCTATACGTTATTAATATATGGGTCTTCATGGATTATAAAATTTTAAACTTTTAACGTTTCACTTGCCTTACACGCTTAACTCAATTTTCAAAATTATTGTCATTATTGAATAAAAAGAGTCATTATTGAATAAAATTATTGTGAGTAAAAAATTATTACTCACAAATTAATAATAAAATTATGTGAGAGTAAAGTGGACAAAGCCCATATTAAATTTCTGTATTTAAAAACAATTTTTTAAGATTCCTATGCTTTCATAACAAATCATATTTGAACAAATACATTTTATTTGAGATTTTAAAGAAGCAATATCGGAATCTGGATTACTGTTTTTCAAATAAAATATATTTAATTAATAAGGCACGCACTCAAGGGTTAATAAATCAATTATATTGTAAATTTCAATTAAGCGTTAGAAACGTTAATAGTAACAAAATATGGCAAATGGTTGTACAGACTACAATTTTTTAGTAACATAAAAAATTTTATAATCTTCCAAATTTAACGTATTCCATTATGTAATTTGAAATTGTAATCATAAACGCATGACAAACATAGTAAAACCACAAAAATTATATACACACAAAATATACCATTTTATTATTGTTATATAGTCTTATAAGCACACATTACACACGTACATAAGTATGTGTGTAATTGTTCATGTAATTAAATATTATATATCCTTATATTACAAAAGCAATTTGAGTTTACATTGCGGAATAATTGGAGATTACGTTAAATATAATGAAATTTAATTAAAAAAAAAAACATAAGGATAACAAAGCAAAACAAAAAAAAATAAAATCCGTTTCAATTCCTTTTTTATTATTTTAATTAAATTACAAAAACAATATGAAAAATTTTCAAACTGATATTGTGACTGTGTGATTGTATAAGGTACTCAAAAGTTAATCAAAAATCATTTTATTACAAAAACAAAAAAAAAACATTTCCTTTCCCATTGTTGAAGGTTGATTTTATATTATATTTGTTTTATTTTTTGGTGGTGTCTATAACAAAATAGTGTGTGACAAAAAAAAAGGAGGAAAAATAATTGTAATTTGAGTACCTACTCAATTTAACCACAAAATACAAAAAAATAATTAAAATTTCAATTATTTCCCTTTGTTATTTTAAATACATTCTATATGTGTGTAAGTACTTAATTTTCCATCATTTTGTAATTATAGTGATTTTTTTTTTCAAAATTGAAAATTTCAGTATTTTGATTATCCTTATTTCCAAATTATAGAATAATATTTTGTGCATTACCATTTGCATATTGTAGAGGGAGCATTTTGATGATTTTAGATTTATCAAAGAAAAAATGCAATATCTAGTATTGATAATTTAATGAGTGACCCGCGTGACTTTTGACATCAATGTCACCCGGTAGCACAATTGTGTTGTTTGGATGTTACATTAAATGAATATAGCATCCAAATCATACCATTGTATTTCCCTTTAACATTTCATCTCTCTTTGTCTTCTTAAAAACATTCTCAAAATCAATTAATTATATTCTCCAAAAATGGTGGAAAATCTCACTTTTCAAATAATTTCTAGTTCGCAAAGATAATGAAAAAGCATCTAATTTTCATATTTTGTCGTTTGCCTAACCAATACTATTACATAAACAAAATCAGCTGAATTTAAACAAACTGAATTTAATTTTCTGATTGCAAACTCTTCTAAATTATAGCTATTGAACGAAAACATGTTTGACTGCGCTATGCCAGTTGAGGCTTGAATCAAATAAGAATCTTTGAACAATTCAGAAAATATCACAATGCAGAAGAATATTACGAGTACTGAAGAATTTTATTTCGTAAGAGATTTGTTCCCTTAATCTTTTTGAAACAACAATAAAATTATCTTAATGTTTCGAATCCTTCACTATTCCTTCAATAAAGAAAAAGATCTTAGGAGAGTAATTAGACAAAATGAAATTTTTCTACTTATTAGTTTTATAATAAAAGTAATAAATTTTGTGATTTCATACATAAAACATGTTGTTTCATACATATTGTATGACGTATGGTTATAAAAAAAAAACCAAAAAAAAAAATGTGTATTAACCACAATGCGGTAATTGTTTTTTTTACCACAATGTTTTCACAATATTTTTTTATATAATTTTTATTTTCCTTTTTTACTTTTCAATTATGCATTGTGTCATAACATTTTACTATTAAATGCATTTTAAAGTTGTATAAATGGTATAGCAATTATTTATATAATAATTTTCTATTTAACAATATTTTTATTATTCATATGTATATCAATTATAAATTTCTTATAACTGTTAAGAAACCTTATATAATCAATATAATAAAATTTTAATTAGATAGTTATTTACTTAAAAAGTAAGGATATTAAAAAATTCGATTTTCGATTATTTTATGTTTTTGCATGAAATATGAAATACACAAAACTGTAATTGGGTTTTTAAAGTATGGGAGAAGGATCAAAAATAATTCAATAATTTTTCCGTAATTTTTTTAATGTTTCAGACCCTGAGATATAAACATTAATGTCAAATTCTGATTCAATTGAGCTGCCTTCGTCCGTTCTCCATCCACTTATTTATTACAGCCATAATTCAAAGATAAAAAGAACCTAAGCTTCGGTAAGCAGTTAATCACCATCTTCTTCTCACATCGTACAGTCATTGTTATTGCGATTATTATTGAAGGAATTTATATTACACAGAGAGTAATTGGTCATGTATGTCGGTCATGCATATTGTTCAAGCATGTTGGTCATGCACATTGTTCATGCATGTTGGTCATGCATGTTAGTCATTCATGTTGGTCATGCATGTTGGTCATTCATGTTGGTCATGCATGTTGGTCGTTTAAGTTGGTCATGAATGTTGGTCATGCAAGTTGGTCATGCAAGTTGGTTGTGCAAATTGGTTTATAGTAGCTGCGATAGAAAATTAAAAATTGTAGGAGTACCTTTGGGACCTGTTAGTGTTATATGAATCAATAGTAGAAATAATTGATTCAACTACCTGTTAGTGTCATGTTCAATCAATTACTTCAATACAAGAAACAGGAACAAAAATAAATATTTCAAATATGAAAACAATTAATAATATTAGTTTGTGCATTTGAAAATTCACATGAATAATTCTAATATTTATTATTTAAAATAATTGAGTTATTATATTAAAATAACAATAATAACTTCAACATCTGTCAGGATTCCAAAAAACAAAGCAAAAAATTTAAAATGAAAAGATTTCATGAAGACGCATCAGTCTTAATCATAGCGTTCGATACAATGGACTTAGAAATGATTGATTCAATAAAATGGATTTGGAAAATTTGTTATTTTCTTGGTATTGATCCGCCACCTAAAATGTCTACACGTGAAAAATTTATTTATTTTTCAATAAGAATTCTATTTTTATTATTTGTTTTATATTTTGCTATTTTTATAATTTTATACTCAATAATTGAAAATGATAAAAAATCAACATTTCAAAATGTTGCTGTAGGTGTAACATGTTTAACAGAATTATATAAATGTATTACAATTCTTATACTAAGGTATAAATTAAAAAAAATTTTAAAATTATTACAAATAATTAATAATGATTTTCTTAAATCAAAAGATGAAATTTTATATTTAAAAAATAAAATATTTAAAATTTGTAATAAAGTATTTAAAATGATTTTATATTTATCAATTATTAATGTTGGCTTTAAAGAGATTCTATCACTTTCTAGTAAAAATTCTAATAAAATGTATATAGATGTTTGGTATCCATTTGATATAACTACAAGTTATTGGTTATATTTTGGATATTTTCATAATCATTTAAGTGCTCTTTTGCTTGGAATGAGTTTTATTGTTGGTGAAACTTTTATACCAATTTATTTATATATTTTAAAAGGATATTTTCATGTCCTCCTAATGAAAATTGAAAAAATATCAAAAATTGAGAATAATAAAATTTCATATTTGGAACTAGTTGATTGCATTAAAATTCATAAGATTTTACAGAGGTAAACACAAATTTTTTAAATTTTTTTTATACAATATTAAAAATTTTTTCTCTATTATAATAATTATAGAATATTTGAAATAATTGGAGAACTTGTTGGTTTACAAATGTTTATGCAATATATAACAACGGCAACATCTTTAGCATTTTTATCTGTTTATTTTTTACAAATTAAAACAAATTCGGAAATGACAAGTTTAATACTAATTTATGTAGCATTTCTTCAACAAATATTTTTAACATCATTTTTCGCTGAAATGCTTAAAACAGAAAGTGAAAATTTAACAAATTCATTATATTCAACAGATTGGATAAGTAAAGATAAAAAATTTCATAAAATTTTAATGATATTTATGGAAATGTCACAAAAAGATTTTAGTATGAATGCTGCTTGGATGCCAGTCAATTTGAATTTTTTTATGCAGGCTAGTATTATTAATTCTATAGAATAAATTGGCATGGAAACCTGATACTTGGCTATTATTAGTTATAATAATTAATTGGATTAGTGAAAAGTATCAGAATTAAAATATGTTGAGAGAAGATTAATAGTTGCTTAGAGTTCAGACAGACACACAATATTTTGTTTTGCAATTACTGTTTGATTGTAAAATTGTTCCGCGCGCAACTAAGCAAATAAACTACCACGTCAATTGAAATCGATTGCCTTAACTGAAAATTGCAGTTAGCTTGTAAAAAAAATTCCAAACAATGTTTGATTGCTTAATTGCATGCGATCGTACAGTTGCATGTGTTCTCGCTTGAATATAATTCTAATCAAAGAAATGCAAAACTGAAACTTGAATGTCTATCTGAACCCTTACTATTGACAAAATAATTGGATAAAAAATTATTGTGAAATTATTTCAAAATTTTTAAATTACTATTGTGATTCTTGTTAATATCGGGCTGTAGGTCAAATTTCAACACGATTTTTAAAAATTATTATATTTACAAGAAAAAATTTAAATTGTACTCGAACTTTTTAATAAAATTCTTATTTTTCTTTTAGGTCTTAAATTTTTCATACTCATATTTTGTAATGATGAATAATTTACAAAATGAAAAGTAGATTCTCTACTGCATTTGAGGCATTCAAAATAATTGAGCTCATGCTGATTCACAATTTACCAAACACACGCATTCAAAATGAAAAACAATATGAATTTTTTAAAGGAATTTTAATGTTTAAAAGACTTATATAACAGTAATATTCAACAAATAATCGATAAATCTACGTAATCGACACGTTTTTCATTCAAAATAAATTGCTGTTTCACAATTTTTTTTTTTTGCAATTCACAATAATCAAATATAATATCAAATTATGTATTCTATGTGTTTATAGTGATGATTTTATTATTAAATGTGATTAATTGCTAGTACTGTTATACTACTATAATAATTAATATATGTAATTTAAAATCAATAAAATTTAAAGGAATTCCTTATAATATCTTTCGTTTTCTATTATTTTTAAAAATGCTTCCTTATGCTACAATATTAATTAATGTGAAAATTCAATTTCGAAATTAAAATATTTATAAAATATTGTTAAAATTATGGAAAATTTTTAAAAAATTTATTAAAAATGCAAGCAATTTAATAAAAATTGACATAACAACAAATTATATTTTAAAAAAAATATTCACAATTTCAAATTTATTAAATATTCACAGTTTCAATTTCACAAAAATATTGTGAATTTTATAAACATTTTCAACGTATTTTGAGTAGAGATGTAGTAGGAATCATCATTATTAAGCAAAAAATAATTTATTTGAGATGCTAGTTTAGCAAATCTTTATAATAGGATTCAAAACTTTTCAATTGAATTTCTTTTTAATTTGACCTAAACAATTAACAATTTCAACATTAAACGTACAAAGTATACATATATACAATAATTTTTTTATTTTCTAGATAACGTTCATTTTTTTATTACGTTTGTTATTTTTACACTTTTACAAAGTACATACAACTTATCATCATTTTTAATGTTTTTATAATTTTATAACAAAAGAAGATAAGATTAAATAAACAAAAATCTATAACATTAAAAAATAACTTTAAATTTTTTTACATAAATATAAGAAAAAAATTTCTTATCTCAACTACTTTAAACTACCAAATTGTTATTTTGAGCGATAGCGAAAAATATAACAGTCAACTGCGCGTATTTAAAAATAATTTGTAAAAATTAATTATATAAAATTTAACATTTGAATGAATTGAAGAAATCAGGGAAATTGAGATTGAAAAAAAAATATTGGAGAATTTCAGCAAAGCCTTCAAAATAAAAAATTTTCAAGCTATTATAAGCTTCTGCTAAATGAACATTTTGCTTAATTAGAAATCAGTTTGAAACAGGGCAGAACTAAGTAGGCTGACGTGGTAAAAAAATGAAGATAATTACAATTTGTATTTGGATTATTATTCACTTCTAGCTCAGTCCTACTTTTACAGTTTGTTACTAAAGTAGCACAAAAAAAAAAACTATGTTTAAAAATGCAGTAGTCTTGTATTAGTATGCCAATTAAATAAGACCTTATCATGTTCAGAAATTTGCAAATAAACTTTTATATGCTTAGAAGTGCCAGCTTAGACGAATAATTATTGCTTCTACTTTCAACATTTCTTAATATCGCTATCATGTTAGATTATTAAAAATTTCCAATATACTCTAGAATTTTCAAAAAACTGTCATTATATGAACTCTCAATAATCAAATATATAATCTGGGAAATTTGATTCAATTCGAAAAATTTTATGGTGATCAGATTACTGAGAGGAAAACGGTCCCTCAAAATATTTGACCAAACTATAATTTTAACTTCATAATAGATAAAACGTGATTTGGATTGAAAATTAGGCGAAATACGAATAAAAATATAAGCCTCAATTATAAATTAGCGATTTTGATTAGAAATTTTTTATTGTTAAATCCTTAAATTTAATTTTCTCGATGCTAAGAATCCTAAAATTATTCAGTTTTTTATATTATTTCCACCGTGCATATTGCAATTACTCACTAAAACATATTCTTATGACGAAAAAACATCAAATTAAATACGGGTGTCCGTGACTCAATGATACTCCTGAAGCAAGGTAATAAAATGTCTCTAAATATTCTGATACCATCCAATTTTTTACATTATCACTGATAACTCATGAAATATGACAGACCAGCTCAGTGTACTTTTAGTACTTAGTATACTCAATTTGAAGCTCAAAAAGCACGTTGTAATCAAATACTTTTTAGGGATGCACTTCAAATTCAAATTTTTTTTTTTTATAAATTTTTCTCCCAAAATTTTGCATACAACAAGGATTAAATTATAAAAACACAAAACGTATTAAATTTAATTAACCTGATTTTCATTTTATAAAAAAAAAAATTTAATAATATTCTTTTATACTTAAGAAAAATTTCGTACGTATATGTACTTGATTTGATTAAGAAATATTTTAAAAACGTTTTAGTTACACAATATTACATGTGAGGTTCACGATTTCTTTTATCACTTATTTCAATTCTAACATAATTAAAGTGAATGCATCCTTCTATAAACTTTTTCTAGGAGCATAGCATCTTCATTATATTTACATAACTTTATGTATAGAGCGAAATATACTGAATTTTACAAAAGGACTAGAGTTCAGATGGTAGGTACTACTACTATAATATAAGAATATTATAGAACAAGTAAAATTTAAGTAAAACCAAGAGAAGAAAACTCTTAATTTACTTTATATCCGGCATGAGTTTTCTATATATACTTAAAAAAAATTTCATATTCTTAACATAATTCCATTGCATACTTTTATAATTACATACTTAATAAAGAATTATATCGATATATATGCATATATTGTACATGTATAGCGTATAGTTGATGATATACCAAAAAAAACCCATAACCTAATGTAGTAAATTAAGAAAAGTTCTTGTACTTATGCCACCTTATATGAAATGAGTGAATGAAAATTTGTTATAGTTGAGCAGATAAAAGTTGTTCTAGTTTTTTTTTCAACTTTTTTTTTTTTGTTTTCTTGCTCATTGTACCTTGCAAGGACAATGCGAAATAAAAAACAAAAAACTTTTAATTTTTTTTTTCTAATTTTTGTGGCAAAAATTTTGTGTATGTGTAACATATATACGAAGAATTTAGAATATTTCGGAAGATATGGTGAGGCATAGTGCAATTAAAATTCAATTTTTTTATTCAAAATCTTAGTTCGAATCCGAATCAAAATTTTAGAAAAGCCTGAGTCAATAGTCTACTCAAATAATTTGACTCCAAAAATATATTAATCTTATGGATAATTGCAAGCTTAACTCATTTAAAGTTTTTGGAAAATTTTCACTATTTTTCTCTTTTAATTTTTCACATTTTAGCAATTATTTCTCGAAAACGGCAAGTTTAAATTTAATCTTTAATATTACCGTTATTAGCAGAAGTAACCAACCCTACAACAACAACAAAATTTTCGTGTATAACATGCAAATAGAGAAAGTGGAACAATTTCAATATCTGGGAAGTTGGTTAAGTAATGATTATACGTCCGATAAAGACATTCAATGCCGGATCGAAATGGCAAGAAACGCGTTCAAAAAGCATAAAAGAGTACTGACCAACCGAAATATCAATATGAAGCTTCGCTTACGTTTCGTTGAGTGCTATATATGGTCAGTGTTCTTATATGGTGTAGAAACATGGTCCCCAAAAGTCAAACAAATCAATAAACTAGAAGCATTTGAAATGTGGATTTATAGAAGAATGCTAAGATACCTTGGGTGGATCATGTGTCGAACCAGGAAGTTTTAAGAAGAATGACCGCAGAGAGAAAACTATTAAAAACAATAAAGCAACGAAAGCTAGCTTATTTTGGTCATATCATGCGTGGCTCAAAATACGAACTATTACAGCTGATCGTTTATGGTAAAATTGAAGGCAGACGTGGCATTGGGAGGAAACAAATGTCTTGGTTAAGGAACATACGGTAATGGACTGGCATAAGAACTATCGGAGATCTAGTTAGAAAAACTCAAAATAGAAACGAATATGCAGAATTAGATTAAAACGTCATTACATAGTATTTCGCTTGCAGTAGAAGAAGAAGATTTCTATTAATTCTGTAAAAGAGTTTCGGACAATAAATTGCCCTTACTTCAAAATTTTCGAAACTAATGGCAAACAGAATTTTATCCACCATACTTTTTTTTTTGATTCCCCAAATCCCCCTCTCCCCGCCACTCTCCCCCCCCCCCCCCCCCTCCCTTCCTACGACACAACTCTAAGAAATCATTCCTCCCTTTCACACTATTTTTGCATAATCCTATATTTTTGTACATTATCCAATTCAGGATCGATTTGGCGAGGATTTTTTATCCACTCTGTAATGTGTTCGTCTCTGCTCAAGACACAACTCAAAAAATAATTGTGGAAAT